TCAGCGTCTAGTGTATGACGTTGGTGCCACTTGACCTCTCCAAACTATAAAATCTTTACCTATAAATTGAATTCCATTGGAAACTATAAAGAGGTCGAAAATTTGAATAAAAGAAAAGCCTTGAACCCCTGCAAAAATTACAAGAGTCTAAGAAACTATAAACATAAAAATATAAAACTTGTTAGCTTTTGATTCTTGCATTCAGACTCCATTTTTTCTCAAGTGTTTCCTGACCAAAACCACCCATACAGTTTCTGATATACTTTCAAAAGCCATCCAAAATTCTGTAGTCAAATTGTCGCACATTCCCCATTAATACCCACCTCAAAGGGTCGGAACTTTATCCCTTGGTTGTTCCAGAATTTTCTAATCATTTGCAGCCCAAGTTGAAAGTTTCGAGCCTGCTGAGCACGTGAGGAAGCTGTTCAGAACATCACAAGTGGTTAGAACCAGGTTCCAGCTCACAGAGTATTTTCTAGCTGCAAGGTAAGCTTCAGCTGACTCTCATCATATTATTTAGGCATTTTCAGATTTTACATATTTAAAACACCATGTAGATATTCTGATTCTGATGATGTACATATTCTGAGATTTCATGCATCTGCCTGCCTAAATAGAGAGAATTCCAGTTCAAAACTTCTTGAAGAAATTAAGACTCAGAATTAGGCTCAGTAAATTCATGATTAATTCTGATTTATAGTTCTGATATCTCTTGTTCTTGAAACTCTGTGAAACCTGCCATAAACTGTTATATGCGTATCTTCTGTTTTATTGAGAAAATAACCAAGTTGCAGATGTTCTGACTAGCATGGAGAAGAAAGGCAAAGTTCTGCCAGTTGCATCAGAAGTTCTGAAAACTTCTGAGTTCTCAGCAGATCCAGAACTTCTGAAAACTTCTGAGTTCTCAACAGATCCAAAACTTCTGAAAACTTCTGAGTTCTCAGCAGATCCAAAACTTCTGAACCTCCCTATTTCTATTAACATTTGTTCTGTTTGTGCAGCACGTCAGAGTTAGAACTTCCGACCTCTTCTATTTCGGTATTTACGCTGATTCTGTCTGTTTTCCTTTTATTAATTTTTGCCATCACTTTTATTTTTCATTAATAAAAAAACACCAAAAATATTTCATATTCACATATTATATTTTATTCCTTTCAACACAAAAAGACCAAAAAATATTTTCTTAAACAAAACTTATTTCTTTTCTTAAATAAATAAATATTTTACATTTTTCTTGTACATTCTTATCCATTTCAATGTGGTTGTAATAGTAACTTAGGATTTAATTTGCAATCCCCATTTGTAAATATGTACACCCCATCCCTCTAATGATTGTAATAGCGTAGAATCTTTATTTTCCGCATTTTTATTGCTTTCATATATTGTTAGTAATTAAGGTGTGTATGGCAAGACTAAAACCAATATTTAGAAAACCATAATTCAAGACAAAATTATGCATGCAATCAAATACACTTGCACACTAACACCCCTAAGGTTATTCCACTTGTTGGCTTACAAAAATGGCCACGTTATGCATGTGGGATATCTTAGCACAAACAAATCAAAAAAATACAAGATCATAGTCCCTCGATGATGCTATCAAAGTTGCCTTTCGAAATGATCTTAGTCCCTAAAGAAAAATTCTAAATCATCTAACAACATTGCTATCATGGTTATACGATGACCCGCGCCCGTCCCTTCATATCCAACGATAGGGCTTTTTACCAAAACAATGGTAAGATAGCAACGTCTAAAGGAGGAGGAAAAGAACGCCTAAAGACCTTTTTGAGTAGGTAGAATGCTCCTAATTACTTGTTCAATTTCAAAAACAAACATCATTTCTATTCTCAAAAACAAACACCAACACTTTCCAAACATCTTTCAAAACTTGAAAACATTTTCAAAAGATCAACACTTTGTATACATTCTTACGAACGAGAATCATTACAAAGTTTTCCTAAACGATTGCGCCTTTTCAAAATACTTTCAAAAACCATACAAATCATAATTTCAAATAAAAGCAAGTGATCTAGCAAGTAACTAAGAGCCCATGGAAAACCATGGATGAAAAAGGTACTAACACCTTCCCTTTTCATAATCTACCCCCCGAACTCAAGAAAAATATCTCTAAAGGTCTTTTCTGTGCTTTTTCACCTTTCCTTTTGGATAAAAGAAAAGTCGGTGGCGACTCTTGCTAAACCGCAACATTTGCGAACACAAACGCAAAATAATCAAGTCAGTTCTCCCACCGCATCACAACACGCTACAACTTCTGTCTCCCATTTACAAATCTAAAATGTTGCTCAACGTTTACAATAACAGCTTCCCTTTGGTAGCAAAACCAGATTATTGGCCTGCATACGACGGTGAAATAGTATGGCACAATGACCAAATGAGAAGGAATAAAAAAGGTCGTCCAAAAAGTAAGCGCATCACAACCGAAATGGACTCCCTTGACAAGCTGGAAAGAAAGTGTGGTTTATGTCGTCAGGTCGGACACAATCGCAAAAATTGTCCGAATCGGGCTACTGCCTTAACCACATAAAAATTGTATTACAAAAAATCTCTCCTTTATTATGTTGTAAATATTAAGGTTTTTCATTAACAGTATTTGTTACAATAAACATTGCGCGAACAAGAAAAAAAACACGATAAACCGTCTACGAAATTACAACCGTTAAAATAATTTCATCTGACCCATGCATCATCAACATTACGTCGCTGTCTGTTTTGACTTCCTCCAACCAAACATTAGGTCTTCATGTCGCAAGTGAGGTTGTTGTTCGTCTTTGTTGGATCCTTCTAATTTGTTTCCCCTCCACGATGTCTCCCTCTAGCCATCACATCAACTCTCTCTTCAGACGCTCCATGGAGTGAATGTGCCATAATTTTATTTTCATCGGAGGTTTTGTGGCGGAGAAAATAACGTAACCATCTCTGGTAAAAATCATGGGCGATGTCATGAAGCAAATAACAGAGTAAAAAATAAGAGAACAGTGCGAGAAAGTGTGAGGAATGACGGAGAAACGGATGAATTATTTATAAAAACATCATTTTGCCCTAGGAGCCAAGTGAGATAGCGCCTCATCTCACTTTTAAAGTGCATGCGCCATCTCACTTGGCTAAAAGAGAGAGGAGGCGCCAAGTGGGATGACGCCTAGGGCAAGAATGTGAGTGGAGGTGCAAAGTGAGATGGCTCCTCCATTAGAGAGTTTTCTGAAACATGGTTATTTGCGTAATTTTTTTCGAAACATGGTTATTTGCGATTTTTTTTAATACCTGGTTATTCCAAAAAAAAATTCACAATTTTGTACGAGACAAAATGTTAGGCGGCTAAAAATTAACACGAGAATAAAATAAGTGTGGAAGAGATGAAGATGTTGCGGTGGATGTATGGTAAGACTCGACAGGATAAAATTAGAAATGAAAATATTATAGAGTGTCGGATATCACCTATAATAAAGAAGATGATGAAAAATAAATTTAAGTGGTTTAGACATCTAAAAAAAACATATAAATTCTGTAGTAAAGAAAGTGGAATGATAAAATACCAAACAATTCGAGAAAAAAAAGACTCACAAAGATTATAAATAAAGTTATTAAAAAAGATCTTGATATTAATAATTTAGATAGATATAAGATTATTGATATAATATTATGATAAAAATTGATATGTAATAAGACTTAATTATTAATAAAATTGGTTGATTTCCATTAAAAACTATAGAGAATATATTTAAATAGAAAAAGAAATAAAAAAAGAAATTCCTTACTATTGAAGTCACCTCACCTCACCTCACCTCACCATTTACCATCTCCACTTTCATAATAACACACCGACCTAACCCAACTTTGTCCTAAATCTCGTTTCTTCGAAATTACACCCACACCAGGTTCTTTCTTTCTCTCTCCGATACTAAAATATCTCGCTTTTCTTGTACGGTAATGTTCTTCGGGATTTGATCATTCACTCGCTTCTTATTACAGGACAACACCTCAATCACGGATTCATATGCGTGTCAAGCATCATCGTATTTGATTCTCCATTAATTATAGGTACTTTTTTTTATATTTTTTTTCGAATTAATTTATATATATTATACATAAGGTTTGGTTTGAGATTTTGGGTTTTGAGTTCTCTGATTTTTATAAGAAAAAACGTGATTTTTATTGTTGTTGTTGCTCCTTTTGGTTCTGATTAGATGAGCTTACCTTGCTAGACCTAGGTTTGTGGAACTTGAATTTTTCTTACCAATTTCTTGTTTTGATTGCTTTCTTGTGAAGATAACCGTTAGAAGTTGCATAAAGTATGTTTCTTTTGATTTGGGCTGTTAATTTTGGTCTTGATGTGATTTTGGACTCTTGATTCCATTGTTTGGATCGGTGGTATGTGATGGAATAGAATTGAGTGGTAAGTAATCAGATTCCATTGTTTGGATTTGCAATTAATTGATGAAGTGGAATGGAACATGATGGAGTCCATTCTATTCACCTTCTATTTTCATCCATACAATTTTGGGTGTATGCAACGAATGAACTGATTAGTACTAATATTTAGTAATATTCCACTCTGTCAAATTAACAAAAATACCCAATTAGTGTGGAATGGAATATCTGATCCATTCCATTAGGTTTCATTCCGCACCTAGTCTTTAATATCATGCCACCTTGCATCAGCTCTAATTCTTGATCTAGTTATTATAATTACAATTTGGTAGCTTGTGTTAATACTTGATAGCTTTTTCATTAAACATTCTTAACCTTCTTCTGATTGGAAGAAAAAAAAAGACATTTCTTTCATAGTTCTGCATGTCTTGTTTTGAGTATTTATGGTGTAAACTGTAATGGCTATGCCAGTTTTTGGCCTTGTATTTCCTTCTCACTCTCTTGTAAGACGATGTTTCTGAGATTTTGTTTTGTTTAATGATGTTTCACTCATCCTGTGCAGGAAGTTCTGGTTTTCTAGTATTCTGATGGCTAACTCAAGTAGCACACCAACAATGTCCGCAGACTCCTTGGAGCAGAAGGGGAAAAATATTACTGAATCGAATGCAAGCGTAATTCAATGTCCTTTAAGCCAGCAACACCGTAGCTCTTTAGATGGGCCAGTTTCTATCCTTTGGGATATTGAAAATTGTCCTGTTCCAAGTGATGTACGCCCAGAAGATGTAGCTGGTAATATAAGAATGGCTCTGCAAGTGCACCCGGTAATTAAAGGAGCTGTTATGATGTTTTCTGCTTATGGGGATTTCAACGCTTTCCCCAGGCGACTTAGAGAGGGCTGTCAGAGAACTGGTGTTAAACTCATTGATGTTCCTAATGGGAGAAAAGATGCTGCTGACAAAGCAATCTTGGTTGACATGTTCTTATTTGCTCTTGACAATCCTCCACCGTCCTCTATCATGCTAATCTCCGGAGATGTTGATTTTGCTCCAGCGCTCCACATTCTTGGTCAACGAGGATACACTGTAATTCTTGTCATCCCTGCTGGTGTTGGTGTTTCATCTGCCCTATGCAATGCTGGTAAATTTGTCTGGGACTGGCCTATTGTAGCTCGTGGAGAAGGTTTTGTCCCTCCCTCAAAGTTGTTCGCGCAGCCACGCGGAAGTTCAGTTGAGCTTGCTGGATATTTTATGGGATGCCATATCAATGATAGTGCTGACGGACAAAATGAAGAGGAAGCAATAGTTTATAGAGGGATGTCCCAGGGATATTACAACTCAAGAGAGTTTTCACTGGTATCACAATCTCTATCTGAATATAACCCACCACACATGTCTTACTTGCCAACATCTACGAGGTCGTATAGCCTTCCATCTGGATTGAATGATGTTGCTGGAGGACCTATGCCTTCTAGCGACAATACTGAAGGCCAGATATGGGTACAGCCTGGGGATTTAAATGGTCTCAAGGGCCAGTTAACAAGGTTGCTCGAACTATCTGGCGGATCCCTGGCCCTGGCCCGAGTTCCAGCAGAGTACCAGAAAATTCATGGTAAGCCACTTTTTGTATCTGAATATGGAGCATTTAAGTTGGTTGATCTTTTCAAAAAAATGGATGATGCCATTTCCGTGGAAGGGAAAGGGGCTCGCAGATTTGTGTATCTCAGAAACAGGAAAGGAGGCACAAGTGCTCCTCCCCTGTCTCTTTCAAAAAAAGATAAGAAGGGAAAAGGGGCACTGGAAGAGAATGCAAATGCTGTCATCGGTGGCTGCTCTTCGGATGAGTTGTCAGATGAAGAAAGAGTAGTCATTGAAGAACATGATGGAAGAAATTTTACAGGAAAGCGTACTAAGGGGAGAGCAGCGAGATGTCAAATTGATGGCCGTGTTCTTGAGCAGTTTAAGTGCGAACTGCAGGAAATTCTGGTCAGCTATTCCTGTCGGATACTTCTAAGTTGTTTCGAGGCTGTATACAAGCAACGATACAAGAAACAGTTGGATTATCAGCAATTTGGTGTGGACAAGTTGGAGGATTTGTTGGAGAAAGTGAGTGATGTGGTAGTAATGCACGAGGAACCGGTAAGCAAGAAAAAATTCCTGTCTGCACTTGGTGGTTAGAAAACTTCGGCAAGAGACTGCTTTCTGGTGTTTTTAAGGCAAATCCTAATGAATGTCCTAAGAGCACTGGAAAGTGAAAAGTTTTTACCATCAAGGGTCACAGGACATACATCTTTTCAGTTAATTTATTTCTTATATATTTTGTAAACATGATATGCTGGGCGTATGTGTTTTTTTATAGTCACTGTCCTGCATGTATTTGAACCTTGTAAAATTTCTGTGCTCCTTATATTCGGCAAGTCTGGGGAATGTGTAAAAGTAGTAGGCATTTTTACTTTTATCCTAAATCCAATCTGGATACTGATATACAATTTTACATGCATCTTGTATTAATAAGATATTAATTCATAATTTAACATTATTTTATTTATGGTTTTGCACTTGAGAAGTATAGTTGGAGCTGCTTGATTTTGACCTTTACTGTGATTGTTGTAAAAACTTGCTGATACATTTTTATTCAAAGGACATTTATATATGCTTAAGAGAGAGGTGGTATGGATAATCCGACTATGTTATTCGACTATACTCCAATTTTGACTCTTGCAATTTCTCTAGATATATACCGTCTTTCAAGCATGAGGTTCATAAGGAGAAGATGCTTAAGGGAAAAGTCACCCAGGTTGAGGATTATTTTAGATCACTCCTCTGTTCCAAATTTGACTTGTCCGATCTTATGTTCAACACCAAACTCTTAGTCTTTTGCGTTTAAGGAAGTGATTTAATGTTTCATGTTTGCTTTTCATTGAGACTCATAACGCTCCTATTGTCATTATTATATCTAATTACTAGGCTTTATTTAAATAGTGGTTCTTCACTCTAAATCATTCGCTAACTTCTTTTAGAAACTTTACACAATTAGTTCTCTTCTCTTCCACACTTACGAGTTTTCACAAACGCTTCCCATTATTTTTTGTGTAAGAGTTAAGTATGTCCTTTTGATTTATTGTGTACCTCTTTTATACTCATTTCTATTCAAGACAAAGGTGTTAAATGCCATTAATTAATTAATATAATAGATATTCATAATTATTTATTTGATAATTATCATGTGGAGGGACATGTTTGAACATAGTGATAATTGCTCATAAATGTTTGTCAATGGTATCTCGTCTAAGGTAGATGTCACACCAAACCTCGGAAATGAGTTGTGTTTGACTCACCTTATTTTTAGGAATGTACACAGTCCCTAAGCATGAGGCCCAGAGGAGCGAGATGCTTAGAGAGAGATCATCTAGATAATCCAATCATGTTATTCGATCATACTCCAATTTCGACCATTGTAATTTTTTAAAATGTACACAACACCCCAAACACGAAGTTCTGAGAAATGCTTAAGAGAGAGACGTACGGATAATTCGACCACATTACTCAACTAGATTCTAATTCTTACTATTACAATTTTTTAAAATATACACAATTCTCCAAGCATGAGGCCTAAAGGGGATGGGATGCTTAAGAGAGAGATCGTACAGATAATCCAACCATGTTACTCAACCATATTCTAATTTTAACCAATGCAATTTTCCACGATGTACACAATACCCAAGCATGAGATCTATAGGGGTGAGACACTTAAGAGAAAAGTCACCTAGTTCGAAGATTATTCGAGACCACTCATTTGTTTCAAAATTGACTTGTTTGATCTTATGTTCAACACTAAATCTTTGACCTTCTGCGTTTTAAGAAGTGATTTAGTGCTTCATAATTTTTTTCATTGGGACTCATCATGCTCCTATTATCATCATTATATCTAATTATTATGCTTCATAGCCTCTACCTATAAGGCCTTTCAGGTGTCTGACGCGTTATTTAAAAAGCGGTTCTTCACTCTAAATCTTTTCCTAACTTCATTAAAAAATTTTACACAATCAATTCTCTTCCTTTACACACTTACGAGTCTTTCCAAATTTACTTCTCGTTATTTTTTATGTAAGAGTTGAGTTTGTCCTTTTTGGTTTGTTGTGTACCTCTTTTATACTAATTTCCCTCTATTTAATTTCAGATAAAGGTCTTAAATGCCATTAATTAGTATAATGAACATTCGTGACCATTTATTAAGTACTAATAATTATGCGGGGTCATGTTTGAACATATTGATAATTGTTCATAAATGTTTGTTCATGATTGTCTCGCATAACACGATCTATGTCGTGTTAAACCTTAGAAATGTGGCGTGTCCGACTTGGTTATAACCTAACCCTCCTTATTTTTTGAGATGTACAAAATCTCCCAAGCATGAGGCCCAGAGGGGCGAGATGCTTGAAAGAGGTCATCCAGATATCTGACCATATTACTTAACAAGACTTCAATTTCGACCATTAAATTTTTTTAGAATGTAAATAGCTCCCAAGCACGAGGCTCAGAGGGGCAAGATGCTTAAGAGAGAGGTCAATCAGATAAGTCGATTGTGTTACTCAATCAGACTGTAACTTTGACCATTGCAATTTTCTGGAATGAACAAAAATCCTCAAATATGAGGCTCGAGGGGCGAGAGGCTTAAAAGAGAGGTCGTACGAATAACCCGACCATGTTACTCGATCGGATTCCAATTCTGACCATTAAAATTTTTGGAATGTACAAATTCTATGTTAATAAGTATTCAATATCATCTCTAATTTAGTTGAGTAAAATCTTGAGATTATAAAAAAACTGTATGTTTCAATAGTCGGAAATTCAAAGTGGTGTAATTTTTGAGAAAATATTGGAGGTGTTTAAAAGTAGCTAAGTTATTTTTTATAAACATATTTGGATTTTGGTTTCAAAAGGAATGATTTTAAAAATCAACTTGATTATGGGGGTGGAGTAGGGTTGAATGTTATTGGTTAAACTATATACTAATTGAGATGAATTGAAAATTTTGGTTAAATATTTCGGTTGGTCTAAAAAGCAATGTTTTTAAAATCAACTTTGTTAAGGAGTCAAATGTTTTTAAAAACAATTCAGTTAAGGGGAGGGAGGTCTAAAATTAGGTAATTGCTTAAGGCATCCTAAGGATTGCTGCCACGCCTCCATGAAAAATAAAAAATACTTATGTTCTGGATTGGCTCAATGACTAGAATTGACCCAATCTGATTTTACCCTTTGCATGGTCCAACAACACTGGCCCAATAGCCTTGGACCTCATGTCATACATCTTTGGTCGACCATGCCCCTTGAGCAATAAGATCGTCGATGCCACAGACTCACTCCTGCCCCTGTGGGCAACTGTCTCTCAGTCTACTCGACACATGCAGAGCAGACACCCAGGAAATGCTCATAAACACTTCTGCCTGTAATCTCCCCCGTGCTTGGTGCAACAACTAGTTACAGACACAACTGTCCATTTTGACAAAGTTTTGACAGTTACCTATTTTTGAGGAACTTAATATCTAGGCCTAAAAATAGGAATCAATGGCTATGTATCGGAGGGCATTATATAAACCCTCACACTTGTGAGAGCCAGATATCTAATATTCACTCTGAAAACCTTAATCTCTTCTTGTATCTTTTTGTTCTCCTACTCAATTTAACATCAGAGTGCCTTGCAGGCACACCCCCTCCTCTCCTCATATTTCCATCCAAACAGACGTCATCAACCTTCGGCCCACTTTCCGGTTCTGATCAACCGGTAAGATCAATGGCGTTGTTTGTAGGAAACTATCTTCCGCGTCTTCCTTTTCCTCAATATTGAAGATAAAAAATACCCTCACTATTTTTATCATGGCCAACCATGATGACCACCATATTTTTGGAAAGACTGTACTATCCCCCGTCCACATGACAGACGGGAGCCAAGAACTTCCTTATCTAGAAGATATCCCTGATATCAGAGATGGTCGAACAACATCCCCAGAGATTGATGCTAAACGCGACAACCTCCAACTCTTGGACGATCAGAGGTCCAAGAACCCCAACGAGGAGCTTCCAGAAGTCCTCCAACCAGTTCATATTCCACCAAATGTTGACCCGGTTGTGGCAGCACTGCTTGCTGCCCTCAATCAAATCAACACCCTAATCCTGAAGCAGAGCAAGAGGATTGAGGCTTGGAAGGAGAAGCATTTAAAGTATCCTCCTCGGAGACACATGCGTAATGACTCCCGCAGTCCATCTCTGCCAAGACGTGGTCGTCCTCCCGCGCGGGAGAAACAAGAGGTTTCTTTCATCAAGAAATGAGGTCGTACACCTCCCCATAAAGATCGGCGCTCCATGTTCTCCAAGAAGACAAAGAACAATGGTCAGACCACGACCACTCGCAGTCATCCAAGCTGAGGAGGAGCACCACTCCCTGCCAAGACAACAGCCCCCGACGAGAAATGGATCACCATTCCCCATCATTATCTCTTGATAAAAGCGACGATGATGAGCCCCGCAGCCCGTTATCAAGAAAAATCATGGAGACGACACTCCCTATCAGTCTAGAGAAATATCCCCATCTAGGGATCTATGATGGAATCACTGACCCAGACGAACACATCGAAAATATTGACGCGCTACTCGAATATAGAGGAGTCCATGGAGAAATCAAATGCCAGTATTTTCCTATAACTCCCAAGAAAGGGGCCATGGCATGGTACAAGATCCTTCCAGACGAGTCTATCACATCGTGGAGTAACCTGGGAAGACAATTTTCCAAGCATTTTACGACGTCTCATCGACATCCAAAGTCATAAGCATCTCTGGAGGCGATCATCCAAGGGAGGGATGAGTCCCTCGAACATATATTGAACGTTCCAACCAGGAGGCTGTACAAGTATCCACGACTGACGACATGAAAAAGTATCTCATCGAATGCGGGCTCCGCCCCGTAGCGACTTTGTCAAAGAAGTTGGCATCGAATCACCGACCACTCTGGATGCTCTCCTGCTCAAAGCACGGGCGTACATCTAGTACGAGGAGAAAGATGAGGCCAACAACACGCGGGACTCGCGACATAGAGGGAATGTGAAGGCCTCGATGAATGAGAACCCTCGACATCCAGTCGGGGAGGAGAAAAGAAAAGAGAGGATAAGTCCTGGGAGTCTCGAGACTACAAGGGGCCACCTGGTCGCTTCCATGACTATACTCCTCTCAACGTCTCGCTCGAGAAGATTTTGACCGACTTTGCGAACGCATAATTCAAGCAAGCGGGGGTTCGCTTCCCCCGACAAACACCGTCCAAGCCAAGGACAGACATAAGCAAGTACTGTCAGTTTCATAAAAGTCACATGCATACAAAGGAGTAATGCATCCCTCTCAAGGATGCTATTGAGATCCTCATCCAGGATGGACATCTCAAACAATACAGAAAGAAGGAATCTACCCGGGAAGATGTCTTCGAATCCAAATAGGTCAAAGAAACCAGGGCCTCCCCAGACAAAGCTCTTATTCCCGTCTCCATGAGCATCATGAGGCCGAAAGATTTTTATTTCCCCGACATGGAGGAAGTCCCCATGTACTTCTCATTGCATAGTACTTGGGAGTCATTCCCAGCAGTAATGGTCATCTCAGGCGGTGGTTTTAAAAAATGCACCGTAGGCTCAATGAAGAGAAGATTTGAGCAGTTAATAGAGGCCAACTCTAACATGAGTGCCACCCTCGAAAAGTTTAGAGGAGGCTCTCAC